TGCTGAACAACATTGGCTGGAAATTCAAACTGCAGCATGTAACTGAAAGGCTGTGACTAAAAAGGATGTGTCAACCACAGGAAGACTGTGTTAGGTAAGAAAGAGGAAGATCCCAGGGCAGACACAGTCTGTGGGCTTTGTACCCCCTGAACCTTGCTGGGGAGAAATGGTGAGGTCTTCTCTGGAAACATATTTAATAATAAACAGCAGAACTATCAAACCCAAACATTGCTGTAGACTCGCAGTGTGTGTAGACACCCTACTTTGTACAAAAAAAACCCAAACATAATTGGCAGAAAGGCTTGATCTTACATCCCAAACGAGCTTTCTGGTTAGTGCATAGTCAGTCTTTCCAAAGAGTACTGTTTAATTGTATTTGTATAAAAAGGAAGCATCTCCAGCATAACAGACAGAAAGAAACTCACCATAACATTACTGAATGTGCAGTTCTTTCACTCAGAAGACTGAAGATTGAGGTCTAGATCCTCATTTAAATAAGTCTGAGCAAAAAACTGAAAGTTTATTCTTCCCCCCAGACCCAGTAAGTATGCTGATTAACAATATGGCTGCAGACTATCCCAGAGGACAAATACTTTTCCATTAAAAATTTCCAAAATTTCTTGTTTCTTTCTATTGCAAACAGTAAAGATTGAAAGACTCAAAAGACTTCTCAAGACAGGAAAATCAATTTCTGCCTAGTTCAAAATGCTCACTAGTCTCACTGATCTGGATGGTATTAGGGATTCAAAGATCAAGACCATATTCTTCATCTGCAAATATTCACAAGCCTGGAAATACTAGCTCAGCATGAATTGCAAAAGGCTTAGAATTTGTCCTTAGTTCTTCCAAGCTGATGTGATCACATACTTGATATTTCAGACACTTTTGATTATATTTGTACTGGTTTACTTGGGTTCTTTGCAACTGATATTTTTCTCTGCTTTTGCTTTACTTCCACATTCTGCAGTGTCATTTTTTTCAGAAATCAAGTTGTATCCTGAATAGCTGTCGTGTTCCTGAGGAGTTACGATATGTCTGGTTATGTATATATGTGTGATTTTCCAATGAATGAAGTTAAACTAAGGGATTGTATTATTCCTAGGACTATTCCTAGACCATATTGTTTTAAGTGTATTGCACTGGTGTTGAGAAAAGGACTATCAATAGGCTGAAAATTTAGTGGCCCTGACAGTGAATCTATTGAGAAGTTTCCTAAACATTTTAATATCCTAACTTTTTACTCAGAGATCTACATTTCAACAGAATATAATCATTAAATTATACTGATTAGTGGTTTTTTATCTTCTCCAAATGTAAGAATTTGCTATAATTAGCTGCAGATTCCTCTCCCACCATATCATTTTTGCTTCTGTGCAGATCCTTTAAGGAGTAAAGCTGTCACTGCCATCTAGTGTCCTCAGAGCAGGGCTCTGGAGACTATGCTGAGAAAAAAAGCGTTTTCATGCAAGGATTGAATTTCTTCTGCAGTTCCTCTGCTAGCAGTAAATCTCGTGTAGCTCACAGTACCTCTTACACTCTTTGTTGCCCTTCCAATATATTAATGAATTTAGCGGATAGCTCTCTGGGTTCTCTCTTTGGAAAGTTTAAATGACACTTGCTCACTTCTTTCTCTCCTGGAATGCACAGTTGCACCCTCTAAGTCCCACTTGCTCAGGATTGTGTAACCAGATCCTGGCACAGAAACTAGTCCCAAGGAGCTTCTGACAGATTCCTTCTCCTGCCTTATCCTTTATCCCCCTCCAAACGATCACTCTTAGCAGAGAACAAAATGGATACAAAAGGCATATTAATCAACAGTGCATGCACTATTACGTGGATTTGTATAGTTCCACATAAAAGCTAGCTTGGTGGGAAGTCACTAATTTTGCTTACATTATGTCCTGGGATACAGCTGTCTCAGCCTCCCATGGTCCTTTCCTCACTTACACTATGTCAGGGGAAGCAGTCAGTTCAGTCTCTGTTTCAAGAAACTGACATTTTCAATATCAATACTTGATGGCCTTGGGCAATAACTCATTTGGTTCCCCACCACTCCTTCATCCAGTGCACTAGGTCCAGCGGAGAGTCCTCCTTTCCTTTTCCTGGCTGACGGCAGCCTCAGGGCCCCCCTGGCTCTGACCTCAGCTTTCCATTTCCGCCGCACGAGCATTTTTATTTTCCCTTTTTTCTTAACCAAATGCCAGGAACTGAGAGCCTGGTACTTTTCTCAGCTGAGGTAGAGCTAACCGCAGAGCAGCGCACGTCTCTCGCTGGGGACGCAGAGGCATGAGCTGGAGCCCTGCTTGGACTGGTGCCGAAGGCTGCTTCCAGTCAGCCGAGTGGCAAACGGGAATCTGACTGTTTGGGCTGGGGAGCAGCTGGATATGATCATGCTGAAGCCTCTGGAAAATACAGCTTCCTATGCAGTACCTTTTTTTCCCTGCTAAACGTGCAGTTTTAAGAGAAATTCACGTAGATATGAAAGACATTCTTTGACGGCTTCTTGCTTCCCTGTGCACCTTTGCCTACCCTGCTCCAGGGAGACCCAGGTCAGACCTCTGAAATTCAGAGCACTCAGACTCAACACCTAGCCCTTACGGAAGACTCTGTATTATTTTGGTGCAATTTTCTTAGCAAAGTCTTTCAGATGGGATATTAGGGAAAATTTTACACTGAAAGGGTTATTAAGCATTGGAACGGGCTGCCCAGGGAAGTGGTTGAGGCACCATCCCTGGAGCTATTTAAAAGATGGGTTGGCATAGTGCTTAGTGACATGGTTTAGTGTGGTTTTTTATCAGAGTTAGGTTGATGGTTGGACTAGATGATCTTCCAGCCTAGAAAATTCTATGATTCTTTGCTTCTGTGTCCAGAAACTTATTTCACTGCAGAGTAAGTTAAACTGCCCAAATCAAACATTATTTTTTCAGGCACACCATGTCAGTCAAAGATTATTTTGATATATAAAGGAACCAGTTTCTGTTTCTTATGCATAGGAAATTGTATTGACCTTTTCTGTAACAAATTTATCAATATTATGTCATATAAATAGAACTTTTATTTTAGTCCACCTTAAGTTATTCCATTTGCAAAGTTTTTTTTTTTTTTTGCAGGTCTATTTCCTTAATTTCGTTTAACCATATTAAAGTCTGGAATACATTAATTCACACTTTTATAGTCAGAAGAGACTGGTAAATCTGTTAGGTTGCCTTGTCTGACCTTCTATGTTATGCAAATTACAGAATTAAACTCACCTAGCCCCTCGGTGGGTAAGCCTGGCTATTTATGCCAGATATTCAGTGTTGATGGGCTTTCTTGGCAGGCCTGGCTGATTGATTCACTTAGGGGCTGGTTTTGAGGAGGCACAAGAGGACACTGTAGCTTCAATTTACCATTTAAATTAAGGTGAAAACTGAATGTCATGGTATTTCTTAATTTCTCATACTTTCTGTATGATAAGGACTAATTCCAATTTAGTTCTTAATCTGCAGATTTTGGGGTTCTTTTCTTTTTCCTCTCTTTCTGTCTTTCCCTCCTATTCTCTTTTCTATAAAATTCATTTTCTCAGAGGGAAAAAAACCCAACAGAACAGGTTTTTAAATAGAGGTGAACATTTTGATCATTAAAATGCACACATTAGCGTTCCTTTCTTTTATCCAATAGTTCTGCCTTGCTTTCATGACATGCAGTGTAGGATATTTCGATTTAAGTTGCAGAATAACCAAGTCATAGAATCATAGACTACCGGGTTGGAAGGGACCTGAAGGACCATCTGGTCCAACCTTTTTTTCGCAAAAGCATGGTCTAGACAAGATGGCCCAGCACTGTCCAGCAGAATCTCAAAAGTGTCCAATGTTGAGGAATCCACCAATTCTCTGGGGAGATTATTCCAATGGCTGATTGTTCTCATTGTGAAAAATTTTCCTTCTGTGTCCAATTGGAATCTCCCCTGGAATCATTACGCCTTGTCTTTTCCATGTGACTCCTTGTAAAAAGGGAGTCTCCATCTTTTTTGTAGCCACTCTTTAAATACTGAAACAGGGTGATAAGGTCTCCCCTAAGCCTTCTTTTCTCAAGGCTGAACAAACCCAACTGTCTCAGCCTTTCCTCATGGCAGGCTTCCCAGTCCTTGATCATCTTTGTGGTCCTTCTCTGGACTCTCTCCAGCCTGTCCACATCTTTTTTGTGGGACCCAAAACTGAACACAGGATTCCAGGTGTGGTCTGACAAGCACTGAGTCATTTCACAGTATAATTTTATTCCTCCAGTTTATTTAATATTATTTTTTAAACTGAAAAATAATCACAGTCACACATCATTTGCATTGATTAAAAAAAAGACAACCCCCCCCCCCCCAAAACCCAACTTACATTGTACTGAAACAATTGCTATAGATATTAAAAGTGACCAACATGAAGAAAAAGTGTTCTTTTGACTATTTTGATTTGAATGTTCAGGTTTTCTGCTAGCACAACTAGGCATAACCTCTATAAATGTCACTTGAACTACTTCAGTTTACACCAGTTGAGAACATGGGCTGTCTTACTGTGTGTAGCTTCACACAAGGTTTCAAACTGCAGATTCTCTTGTTGTTGCTACTGGTTTCCCCAGTGTCATGCAGGCTGATGTTCTCCAGGGAACACTCTTCCCTTTTCTTGCTTTTCTGTCTGCTTTGGAATGACACCTGGTTGCTTCTATACCTTCTGCTTGTGCCAAAGATGACAGGAGCATCCATTTCCAGGGGGAGATTCCCATTCAAATGGGGATACATTCAAATACCTTTGAATTCTCTAATTTCAGGGTTGCAATCTGGTGTTATCCTGCTCAGGGAGTCACAATGCAGTCCTGACTCATTTATCTGAATGACATCTGAATTCTCAGTACATATAACAGGAATTTCACAAAGAGCTGAAGGATTAGTTTAAAAATATAACGATTCTAGTGTTATCAGGCCTATTTCTTGGGACATGCTAGGACATCCTTGAAAGATGCTAGATGTGCTCAGATTACTGGGAATTAGTAGTGCTCACGATCATGTAGGATGTATCCAGCATCTCACTTCAATACTAGACAAACTTAAAATGGTGTAATGCCCCTTGAAATGCTAATAATTTCTTTTTTTCTTTCCTATTAAGTTAATTCAGTCCCAGACTGACATACAGCTATATAGTTCCATATATACAGTATAAATTTGGTGGTAGGTAGCCAGTGTTTGTTCACAGAACCTTGCTGCCCTCTAATAAATCTGTACGCCCACATTATTATTTCCATGTACTACAAGCTGCTCTGCAGCCTATGACATGGCACTCAACTGTAATTAGCACCAAAATATGGAGTTAGTATGCAGGACACGGACAATTCTTTTGCTCCAGATGCTGTATTCAAACTGCAGCGGTCCATTGAAGAAGTAGAGATAACCTAAGGAAAAGGAAAGTTAAAATTGATTAATGCTGGGAAAACTGTGTTGTCACATTAAAATTATCCATCAAATAAAAATTAACCTTTTTGTTTTAATTTTTTAATAACTCTTTAAAATGCAGTATTTTAGTATTTAGAATGCTGAGCTAAATTGTAATAAATTTTCAGAGGTTCTCATTCCATTTGCCAGAACTGGATCAGTGTTTTAAAATAACTAATATTTTAATTTAGTGTCAAGCCCTACTTTTTATTACTATACAGCACTTGCTTAGGGAAAATGCAGGGCTTGCCTGTTAATGTTTAAGACTCTGATTTGGAAACACTCCTTGAAGAGTTGGACAGGAATGGGCTCCCTTTGAAGGAATGGACACATTATAAAACTTCCATATTAAGCATATCACTTTAGGTTCCCTAAGCAAGGTGGCAAGTCTCTTTTGGGCTCCCACAATATATACGTACACAGTTTATAAGAGCATTTTAGCCAGAGGGATCAGAAACCTGATTCAGCTCAGAACAGAAGTGTTGAAAAAATCAAAATTCCAAATGACAGATTTTCCCACAGAACATTAATCTTAAGTTTCGATAACAATTAATTGTAATAAAGTTTCACTGTCAGATTATGTACCATTTCTTTCATAGACTGCATCCACTCGATCACCAATTCCTGCATATTCTTCCTCTATCAGCCTGGGGTAGCCTGCTTCCATAACCTCCGCCTCTTCATCGTAACTATATTAAACACAAAAGAAAATAAAAATTCAGAGGACTTAAACAGCCTGGGAGTTTGATCTGTGCCCGTTATATTCTTCGAAGTTATCTATGTCAGAAGTAGCCAGCAGCTTTTAGGTACCTTATGTCTAGTGCAATAGTGAAACTCAGAGCAATAACCAGGGCACTCCTCCACCAGAAATACAAACACTATAAACACAAAACTAATAAAGCTACATTTTCAGAACTGACTTCTAAAGTACATATTATATGGAGATGATTGTACTTGAATGTATTGGCACTGGAAAGAAGTAAAAATCTGGAGACAAACATGTCTCCAGCTTACCTCCAGTACTTGTTTCCAGTAAAAAAGAGAGTCTTGCCCGTGTCTTTAATATGGACAGCTGCATCTATTCTTTTCATTTCTTTCGGGAAACCCATTTCATATATCTTTTTAGGAAAGTCTTTAACTATGTCGTAGCCATTCAAAGCCCAGACTTTCTTGCCTGAAAATAAGAGCAAAGCATGGATGAGTCTTTTTTAAAGGCTCAGCTTTGAGAGCAGAATAAAACAAAGATGCCATGATCCTTCTTTTCAAACAACTAACAAACTCTTAGGTCACATGCTCAGAAGGTATTAAGCTATTTATGATAACTATGATCCTAGGCATCTAAGTGTAATTGTACATCTGCTAATTCACTAAAAATTGTATAGATTTGCACAGGATGAAATCAACAGAGTTTGGTTTTTGAGCAAGGGAGGCAGGATGTTTTGTTCTTCTATTGATTACCTTTACATCACTCACCGAGCTTGATTAAATAATTGTATTTTTCTGCCAACAACAAAATTGAAAACTCACCCTTAAACATGAACACAAGGTCTTTGATGGGGTTTTCATAAGCTGCATCTATTTTGTTTGGAAGCTCTGGCCAAAAGGATTTAAGTAACACCAGTTCTGCCTCAACCATCTGAGGGTGCAGTCGCCAGAAAAACCTAGTTGAGAAAAAGAAAATTTTACATTGCTTGTCATTCTGCAGAACAGCAGTATCTTTGACGCACTATAGTAAAAAATGCTAATGGAAAATTAAATTATTTTCCAACATAGATTTTTCAATACATAGAACTCCTGGTAGACCTTTCCTTTCCATAGTGACCTAGCCGCAGACCATTTCTTTCACTCATACAATGACCATCTCAAACAAATCCCAATTAATGAATCTTTTTTTCATTTAGAATAAGAGAAACACGGCTGCCCCATGTAAGGCCTCTGAATGCAATACAATTTCATTCAAATAAATGTTAGTAGATTTGTGCATGCTGAAGAAAGGTCTGTAGAATGAAAAATGTGTACAAATGCTCTCAGTCTTCAGCCATAGCATAAATCCTGTCTAAAAAGATAAATGATGTAGTTTCTTAGAGGCATATATATAGTGATTTGGGATTTTTAAAATTTATGTTTACTTGGATCTTTAGCAAAAAATGTGAAATGGTGTTTTCACTTGCTCAAATTTTACCCAGTACCCACCATCCATGATAGGAAGGTTTCTTTACCTGTCCTTGAAGACCAGCATTTCTCCACGAAGTTCTGTTATTGCATCAAGTGATAACTCTGCGTCACATTTCTCTGGTGTTTTGGGGTGTTTTGGATTGGGATCTTTCTCTCCAGCACCTGGAATCATACAGTATGATCTAAGTTTGACAATGCTGATTTCCTTTCTGTGGGTCACTATATCGAATAGGACATGGAAGAGTTCCCAAACAGAATGGTGATTTGTACTGTGAGAAGTCTGTTCTCTCTTTCTTTCCTTTAGCCAAATACATTCATGGACCTTGCAGCTCAGCTATGCTGCAAATATGTTAAACGGACTTGCTTTCTTTATCGCAAGCTTTGAAGGTCCCCCAAAAGTTTTATTCTTTTTGTGATGAAACATGAATATTTCTGTTTCTCCCTTTACACTGTTTCACCTTCTCTTTTGAGGCAGGTCAAAAATTATAAGGACTCTGCTCCTCACCCACCACCACCAAAGGAGACAGCAGAGACCAACTGTACTCTGCAGTGTTACTTCTTTTTTTTTTTTCCTATGGATTTTCTTTTTTCTGTGGATTACTAAATCTAAGCATCTTCTGTTCCTGAAGTTTGGGTGCCAAGAATCCACTGAATTGGTCTTAATCAGTTATGACCGTTTTTATTGAATGTCTGCAGCTCTTTAGTAACTGTGCAGTGCATCTGTAACAGGTTATAATGATACAGGAAATATATATTATATATTATACAGACTTACCATAGAGCTCTTGGATCCCTTGTACGTCATCATCAGGAAGCACAAAACCAGTTTTTCCAGTGTATGTGTAAATTGGAAACATCAGAGCTCCAGGATCTCTAGAGTGTTCAAGTCCCAGTGAATGACCAAATTCATGGGCCGCAACAAGAAACAAGTTATACCCTATAAAAAACATGGTGAAAGTAGATGTATAACTTCTTGTAACACCGAAGTGGTGTTACAACCATGTCAACAAACATTAAAGCACCAATTGTGCTTTAACTTATGGGACAATGAAGGAGACAAGTGGATTAATGGAAGAATGATGTATAACTGTTTCTCTTTTTCAAACTGCCATGGTTTTTGTTTTAATAAGGGTCTAATTGATTGAGTATCTCATAGCTGCTGTTCAACCTAAATTTTATTTGACAATGTTGCTCAGTAGGCAGATTTAGATTTCTTGAAATTTCTTAGCAACACTGGAAAGTTTTTGGGTGAAATCTTGGTCCAAGTCAAATCATGAACATTTCTGTCAGGAATTAATCTCTGGTAGAGAATGCACTTTTTTTTTCCAGTATTCACAGAATCACAGAATGATAGGGGGTTGGAAGGGACCTCTGGAGATTCATCTAGTCCAACCCCCCTGCCAAAGCAGGTCCACCTAGAGCAGGTTGCACAGGAACATCTATCTCCAGGCGGATTTTGAATGTCTCCAGAGACAGAGACTCCACCACCTCTCCGGGCAGCCTGTTCCAGTGCCCTGCCACCCTCAAATTGAAGAAGTTCCTCCTCATGTTTAGATGGAACTTCGTATGTTCAAGTTTGTGCCCGTTACCTCTTGTCCTGAATTGGCTTTAATGGCAGGAGAGTGAAATAACACAGTGATGAAAAAAAATAGTGCTTTGTTCTATTTTTCCTATATTGTTCTCTGTTCTGAATAGGCAAGCTGAGGAATTTTCAAATTAGATGTAAGTAGCTGATTTGCAGCTTAGTTAAGTATGTGGGCTTTCTATAGGCTTCAGTAAGGCAATTCCCATCAGTTTGTGATCAGAACTAGCTGGCCTTAAACTCAGTGAAATGCCAAGCTGGCAAAATACCTTGTAAGTGACATTTTTTTAATCACTGCACTTTGAAGGTATGTATCTTAAAATTTATGATAGGCATGTGTTATACTTCCACTTATGATTGGAGATTATACCCAGCTTCCTATGAGTAGACAGTGAACACAATGACTAATGAACAGTAAACAGGCAAAACAAGCTGTTTACAGACACCAAACAAGATTAAATTGTCCATCTACCATCATTTCAAACAATCTCAGGAACTTCTGTTACCTCGAGAATCATCTGACCAAGCTTCATCATCATCAAAATGGGCATCTCCTCCATAGTCTGGACCAGGGGGGAAAGCATGAGCCAGTAATCCAGAGGGTCCATCGAAGGGGTAAAAGTCACCATGTTCTGTGAAAGAACATTCAAAACAATGAAATCAATTATCCCGTTTTATCAGCAGCAGTAATTATAACGTAAAAATAATTGGTTCTGTGTTACCTTTAGTGCCAAAGGAGATCATGATATCAGCTATACCACTTCGTATTCTGGTGAAGTTAAGCGGTGTCACATCAGACCAAACTTTGAATGCTTTTTTGAAAGCTCTGTCTACTTCAGCGCGTCTCAGATCTGAAGTGTAATTCATAATTCTATCAAACAGATTAATATTTCCAGTTAAATAGTGTGAATTGCAGAAAATGTGTAATACACTTTCATTTGATTGTTTCACCTCATTATTTTTTTTTTGTTTTCCTTCCAATGTTCTTATCTAAAAACAAAGAGCTCAGCAGCTGCATACAGTATTCAAAAAAAAAGATCAAAAACATTTCTGTTTTCATTAAAGTCATTCAGAGACATCTGAAATGATCTAACAGCTTTCTGTAATTGGTTTTATATGCACCAGAAGATAAAGAAAATTACATATATATTCTGTATTAAGTCAAATCATACCAGTAACTTCAAACCCTCTTTTTGCCATATAAAATATCTCATGTTCCTCACTTCCCGGAGGACCAAAACATGATCCAAAGAGATTTTTATAGGCTAAAATCATCCATATTAAAGTAATATTTATCACCAGATACTGAACTGATAGAGTTCAGTGATATCATATTTGGAATCTGCTAAAGAAACTCCGGTTGCAGCTGGTCAAAACCCCCTCTTGACGACCTCACGTTATTAAGGGAGAAGGAGCTACCACATGACCTGTCAGCGCCATAGCTTCCCAATGTCAATTTTCTAAGGTTATGGTGCAGGGTTTGCCTAAGCAAGAATAGATATCTACATCTGGATTGTGAAATGGAAGAGGGACAAGGATCAGTGGCTCTCACAGCCACATTGCACAGAGCAGTTTGTATCTACACTGCTTTGCCCAGGACAAGACCTATGTGAAATAGACACTAAATCAGGTCAAAAGTAGAGCTAAAGAGTCACCTAGAGATCAAGTGCTGTGAGGATCAGTGGTGAGGCATGTGATCTTAGTCCCTAACTCTCCTTCACTCAGCACTTTGGGTGTGCCCAGAGTGTCTACATGGAAGCCAGAAGAGGAGTTACTGGCCTTCACCACACCAGCTTTCCTCCATGACACAGTGCAATGCACAGAAATCGTATTTACTTCCCTGGGCTGTAAGGTGGGCTTGGGGGACTTTTCCAAAAGGGCTACTGAAAGGATTTAAAACTGCAACATGAATTTTGCCAAACTCAACTGCATCCTTCTCCCATCAACCTCGTATACTGAGCATCCTATTGGACAACGAAAGAAGGTAATAACAGTAATAACACTCAAAATGCCATGCGTTTACCTGTATGTCAAATTAGTTTTTGACCACTTCAGTTTTCTAGGGAAAAAGTTATACTCCCCCACATCTGGGACGCCACATCTTGGTTTCTGCATCAGCTCATATGTTTCTTCATCTAATTTGCCCGTCACCTCCAAGCCAAAAAATGCTTGCATTTCTCGAAGTTTAGATGCCACCGTGTTGGCACTCTTCCTCATTATGCCAGCAGGGTTTGGACGGAGATCATAGTGATTCCTGAGATAGCGCTAAGACGAGAACAAGAAGTATTAAGCCTAGTTTCCAAATAGTTGTAACTACACATCTTACTATTTATAAAACATGAAAATGAATTATTTTATACTGTACCTCTGCAAACTGAAGGTCTTTCTCTGTGAATTCATGGCTGTCTTCAAGGGGAATAGGGATTGCCAGGCAAAATGGCAAACCCAACAAGAAAAAGACAACTGAAAGTCTTGATTGCACCATGTTGGATTTGTGAAGTCTGAAGCCCTGCTGTTCTAGAGAGCAGTTACCTTTACTTTTATAGTCCCAACGCCGTGAGTCACCACTTAGGGACAATTTAGAACTTCCTTGTCACAGAAAGTAAACATGCTTAGACGGCTACTTTTTCTCTCCTCCCCAACACTGTGGTTTAGGCATCTGTTGTCCCACTTGAGGGCTCTGAAACTGTATCCTCGTATAAACACAGTCTCTGAATATTGACATAGGTTGTGGGAAGAAATGGGCAGAAGCAAACCACACTTTTTGATTATTTTGCAATAACTTACACTGGCAATAACTTTGCAGTAACTTACTTTGCTAGAAAAATTGCTGTTCTACTACTTGCTAGACAATAAAATTATATAGCAAGCTTTGTGACTTTTTAAAATAAATTCTGCATCCTTTCAGTAGTTACACTAGTTCAACATCAATTTTGAATAGTTGGAATAGATCATACACAGTCCTGTTAATAAATATTGCCTTGGCTGATAAGAAATAACATTATAGAGTATACAACAGGGTATTACATTTCCTTGTTTCTGTAAGGAAATACAGCTCAAAAGCATTAACACAAATTTTCAGTCTTCCAGAATAATTTACTGCTTGAGATGTACCTAAACCCAGAAATACTAAGTATAGGGAAATAGTTTTGAATATTTAATTTTTTTTTTATTATTAGTAAAGCAGGTCATTTGAAGTGACTATTTTGTACAATCCGTCTTCCTTAAAAAAAAATAATTTAATTTACTTTATGAAGGGAGTACAGACATAGATCAATGATATAGCTACTACGCTGAGAGAGGTAATCTACCAGCTATGGTAGGCAATGAATCTGTGTGTCTAGAAAGACAAATATATGTGATTTTGACTTACGATTGGATAATAGGATACATCTGGCATCATGACAGACATGGGAATTATTATACTTCAAAGCTTAAAGATTATTTCGGTTTCCCCTGGATCTCTCCAATCTCAGCTGCTGCTAAGATTGGTGTTTTTTATATTGGGGGTGGTGAAACACTGGCACAAGTTGCTAAGAGAGGTGGTAGATGCCCCATCCCTGGAAACATTCAAGGTCAGGTGGGATGGGGTTCTGAGCAACCTGCTGTAGTTGAAGATGTCCCTGCTCTTGCAGGGAGGCTGGACTAGGTGACCTTTAAAGGTCCCTTCCAGCCCAAACCACTCTATGAGTCTATGAGTCTATGATCACATCATGTATCCAAAAGCATGAATCCAAGGGGAGATGTTGTTTCACCTGGATCCACTTTCCTCTTTCATGGAGGCTGCTCCTGCATGGAAAACCTTAGGCAGCTTTCTGGTAAATACTGGTACACACTTTCCAGAATACAATACCCTGCCACAGATGTTGCCTTGCTTACAAAACAGGAAAAGGACAAAAATATGTGAAGTTGAATGCGTAAAAGCTCAATTTGTTACTCAAACAATATTAGCCTTCTGTCCTATGATGACAAACAGCAAAAGCAAATAAAGCTGGGAGGAATTTGTTATGTAGGTTATTTCTACCTCACTGCCCATCTCAGCCAGTGCTAAATATGATTACAAATAGGGATAGACAACATCTGTTCAGACAGTTTGTATGTTCTCCATTATACTGTCCATCACCAGCTGTGAGACTTTTTTATTCAGCAATGGTGGCATAAAGGCTATTAATTATCTCACCTTTTTAAGAACTGCTCTCCCCTGAAGTGCTTCAGGACGAGCACTGTATCCATATTGCCAGTGTCTTCACTATGCTCCACTCCTTGATAATGCAGACTGTCAGATTATGTATAAGTTTAACTCTTTCATTAATGTTGGGGTACTCGGTTACATGGTAAGCAGAGTTTACAGCGAATTTTGCTTCCTTTGTCTGGAACTTAGGAGCAGTGGTGCTGCCTTTCTTTCAGGTTTTCATGGCTGTAAGGAGTACTTTCTTGAGACCATGAAGCTGTGGGTGTCACTGCTCTGCAGTCACTACTCTGTCTGAGTACCAGACATACCTCAGAAATCTATGAGTAAAATGAATAGTTTAAAACTCCACAGGTAACATTCCTGTGAATTCCAAATGCTTTCAAATTAGCTTTCTGGTACCTAAGAGAACACAAATGTTGTATCACTTTGCAGTGATATACAATATACAATAAAAAGCTAAAAGTTTTTTATTCTGTGTCAGGCACTTATACCACTATTCCTTCTCAGCTCTGATGTTGGAATCTTTGCTTTTGAAACAGGAGAAGTTAAACTCCTAACCATTACTGCAAAATGTCCTCAGTCCATCACACTTTATGAGAAAATGATGCCAAATTATTCCTGAGTGGTTTCAGGGTTGTCTTAATAAATATAGTTTAACTAACTGGTAATTAACAGTCAAACCAAGTAACCAGAGACAATATTTGAATGATATAAATGTAGAACAGGAAAAAATAATTATTTAGCTAGGCACAAGAGTAAAATTAAAGAATAGTGTCAGCCTACTGAATGATCGTCCAAGGAGGTGTGGAGCCCTGCTCTTCAAAACATTTAAGCTGAAGCAGTCAAAGCAGTAGTAAATAGAATTTTCTTGCATGAGGAAAATAATAGATTAGGTAGGGAAGAAAAATTTTTCAGTTGCTAATCCCTGTGATTTTTTTTTTACACAGATGTTCTGATATCCTGTGAAGCTCACAATGAAAATTCTTTCAAAAACTTTGCCTTTGATACCCTTTGCAGAGCTGTCCTGAGGGATTTCCAAGGAATATTTGAAAAACTGGAAAAAGTAATTATAGTAAAAAATTAAAACGGGCAACTTTTCTGAAAAAAGCCTTCTTTTACTAGATTTGTGTAAGAAGAGATGCATAAAGCTGGGTCCTTCACTATTACAAGACAATGAAATGAACAAGTGAAAAGACAGTCCAGTGTTTTGAACAGATTCTGTAAGTGAGTAGAAAGAGAAAAAAGGCAGGGAGTTTGTAATTATTTTGTTATAGAGAGTAAATCAAAATGCTAAAACAGAAATTGATTTCTGAAAGATTGCATGTAATGAGCCACCTGAGAGTGGACTATGGCTGAATCATGTTTTCTGCATATTCAGTTGATTCCCTTGGGAGCCTTGGCCATGTAAATATACACTATCCATTACACATTTTATTGCTATTTATATTACACAGGTGGCTAAAATCCTATATTGAGACATGAATTTTTATGTCCTCTGTACACAAACTGAAGCACCACTGGTGAAGGACTGAGCAAACAAACATAAAAGGGCCAATGAAAACGAGCAGTATTCCCCCTTTTTCCAAAACAGCATTGTAGACATAGTGTGTGATTGTTTTTTAAAAAAAAGCCTTGACAGAGCTGGGAACTAAGTACAGACCTCTGAAATTGCTGTATATTACCTTAATAAGTTGAGTCTTTAAAGCCTCAAGCACGTTTTTAAAGTTGGCAATGATAGATGACAACTTCAAAGCCTGCCAGTGTTGGGCAATGTAAGATACAAAATCTATGGCTCAGGCTCAAGTGATGCCACTGTCTGAGTTTTGTTTTGGTTTTGTTTTTTGTTTTTGTTTTTGTTTTAAAAAAACAGTCAAAAGCTGTGGAGAGAGATGTAAATGAAGGTAAAAGGAGTTGGCAGTGGTTCATAGACCTTGTGCTGACCCCAGTGCAAACAAGCAAGCATGGAAAGTTACGTTTTAAAAGCACTGAAACCCACAAAACTGCTGAATAGTAAGATTTCAACAAGCACTGCAAAATTTCTGCTGTTCTGACATCCTGTGGGTGTGGGTAAAGTTAGCTGGACTGATGGTAATTTTCACAGGCACAGCAGAGACTGGAACAATCATGCCAGTTTGCTCCCCAAGGAAAAACGGGTGAAGAGGGATGGGAGATGTGGCAAGAAGAAATGAAGTGCCTTAAAGCAGCATTTAGGTTCTAATGATTTGAAAACAAGAATCGTGCCAACCATATGGTTTCAACATACATTTTGCTACCGCAAATAATTGAAAGGTGTCATGTTTTGATTTACATTCTGTGTTTGGTGCCCAAAATAGCACTGTATAGTGAATGTGGTGAATGCTCTGTGACCCTGAAACAGCAGATGCTCCACTTAAGACAAATAAACAAAAGTCAATGGGTCGGTTTGTTAACGTTTCTTACCACAAGTTGTATTCCAAGTGGAAAGTCTTCAGTGCCTAGGGCTACGCCATCACATTTAGATCAGCTTCCTCTGGGAAGAAGGACGGTATTCTGAGGCCTGTTGTGCAGCTGGGTAAATGGAGTCCCAGAGTAGTTTTAAAACACACATTCTGGCTCTGCTTCTCCAGGTGGGACTCCATCTGTGGGACCTGCTACAAGAAGGGAACCAAAGACAACTGAAAATGGTTTCTATAAGCAGCTCTTCAGCTGGGATGGCGAGGGATGTTACACCAACCTGACTCCTTTTGATATGAAACAGCAGCACCTCTGTGCTGTTTGCTGGCAAAAAGATGCAATTGGGGTGCCCAGAGGTGTTCAGCAGGGTCCTGTGCCAGAGGCAAGAAACATTATAAACATGTTTCCAAGAGGGTCTTGTTTGAATGAGTCCCTGTAGACCCTGTGGACCACTAGGTCATCCAGAGGCAAAGGGAACTGTGGATGGGCTGCCTTTCTGTCAGCCTGCAGCACAGTGCCTGCATGAGCTTGGCAGGACCTGGGGGCTGCTGCCACCCTGGGAGCTGCTGCTCAGCAGTACCTTCCTTCTGGATCCAATGAGCTCCAAGGCAACATTGAGCCGTAGATGAAAAGAAGTAAACTTGGGCTCCTTCCTGGGTGCTGTGTGTCTAAACCCTCATTATAAACAATGCACTCTATACACTCACTAAGCCCTAGACAGCAGCTCGGCCTACACTAAGGTAGACACCTTGGGATTATTTCAGCTGCCCACAAATAGATATCTCATGTTTGAAGGACAAGGAGCTCTCATCAGTCCTATGTCATATCTGACAGTCTCATGCAGATGTCTTGGGTTCCCTC